AGGGTGCAGTATCCAGCCTGACTCATGAAAGACACTCCCCACCCGAGCCTCTGCTTAAACCAAAACCCATCAGAGGAAAAAACTTGCAGAGAGCAGTGAAGGGCGTTGGGAGACACACCTAGACCCCTCCTGACAAAGGTGACAAGATTAAGACATCTCCATTAGCATACAGAATGGAGAGCATAGACAACTCCCCTAGCCTCATCTGCATGAAAGATGGGACAGGAAGACATCTCAATTTACATACAGAATGGAGAACAGAGAACCACACTGAACTCTGGGACCAGAAAAAGCAGGGAAGCACTGCATCATGGGAATCTCTGCTCCAGATGCTAATGAACCTATGTCTGCACACACCCAGCTCAGCAATAATCAGACCAATTCTAGTAATGAATCCTTAATTGATATCCAAATACTGAAGCAGCCTAGTTGCATTGTAGCTCCCTGGAAGAAAACACCACCCATAGCCAAGAGTGATCAGCTCCTATTGTCTAGCCTAAAGAAAACCCTGGAGTCATCAGTTTACCTATAAACAAATCTAGTGTTCTCCCTTGAACAACTGTAATTTCTCTACAAAAATCCCTACACACCCTCCAGTCAGTGTTCTGATGCTTAGATCCAAACTAGGTATCAGTTCCACTGGGAATCCATATTCTCCTGACTGATCGTGCTGGGGCCTCTGCCTGCCTCTTGTCTTCAGGACCCTCAGCTACCACCATCATTTGGGAACCCCGACCAGTTCAAGCTTCAGGGAGTGGTGAGACCCCCTTCTCTTTCTCTCTTCGTTTTCCTGTCTACCTTAGGTATTAGCCTTTAATCAGGTATGTTATGTTGGTTTAGTCCTTGTGTAGTCACCGGCCACCGCCGATAACGAGAGTGAGCCGAGGGGACCTTGCCCACCACAAGGGGGAAGAGGCCTATATACCCCCCCCCCCGCTGGGCCTTACCTCTTGAGCCCTGAACCTACCCAACCTAACTGAATCCCACCACGTGAGGGTCGCCCCATCACCATTGCCCAGCCCACCTACTTGTACCCATGGCTATTTGTACCCCCTGTGTGGATGATTGACCCTCACCACTTAGCAACTGTGTCTTGATCTCACCCACCGCCCACCCCCCCATTGGAGACATTACAGTCTGTATGTATTATGTGTGCTGCCAACCCCAACATAACAACATCTCCCCCATACTCTGTATGTTCCCCCCAATGATTGACAACTGACTCTTCAAATCTTTTGTACCGTTTATTTTTAAATATTCTCTAATAAAATTTAAATCACTATTATTCAATAAATAACTTTTATGGTTAAGTTGGTTGCTTCTCTCTCTCTTGCTGAACTTTACTCGTTTGTGTTTTAGCTTCCCCCATTCACTCTACAGCAACACTTCTTTTACCTAAGCTAAAGATCCCTGCAGCGCCCAAAATACTGTGGGGTTTGCTCATCAAGTAGGTTACTGCCAGTACAATTGTGATGTGAGAGTGGGGATAGGGGTGTGCTGAATCTGGGACGCATAAGGGTAACAGCTTGATAGTGCTGCTTGACCCAGTCCATGGAGCCCAGGGGCATATAAGGAGAGACAGCTTGAAAGTGCTGCTTCCTCCAGCCCAGTGAGTCCAGAGACATATAAGGGGTCAGCTTGACAGTGCTGATTGACCCGGTCCGCTCAGACTTGCTCTGTTAATGTATGTGTGTGTGTTTGTGTGTGTGTGTTCATCTGGTTCTGGGGCTGGAGTAACCCAGCCCTAGGGAACCTAGGTCCTGCAGGATAGCTCCATTGGGAGGGGACTTGCACAAGAGAGAAGTAGAGCTCCATATGAAAACACAAGTGGCACAAGCAGTACATTGATAGGATTACAGAATCCCCTTCCCCAGAAAAGTAACCCGAATAAATGAGCATACTCCAAAGTAATGGGCAAATCTGGTAACAATGGGCGCCCAGCTCTGAAGGCAGTGCCCCACCAGCAGCACAGAAGTAAGAGTGGCATACCATACCATGCCATCCTTACTTCTGCGCTGCTGCTGCCCAGCTCTGGAGGAGCCCCACTCTACAATAACTTTGTGACCCCCCACAACAACTCCTTTTTGTGTCCGGACCTCTACAATTACGATACTGTCAAATTTCAGATTTAACTAGCTGAAATCATGAAATTTATGATTTTTAAAATCCTATGACTGTGAAATTGACCAAAACGGACCCTGAATTTGGTAGGGCCCTAGTGATAGGGCAACTTAATGATGAACAGTAACCCCAACAACTGGGAATCAGGAAGGACTACTTACATAGTAAAGTGGAGAATTCAGTCTAGAGGAAAAGAAATTGCAGAGAAGGAAGGACTCTTTTGCCGGTTGGAAGGCCCTGTAAAAGCACTTTAGTGGAGCCTGAGAAGGATGGAAGATTTATTAGTTCAGAGGAGAAGGGGGAAGCCAGAGGCCTGAGAACCAAAGGGAGGCTGTGTTAAGCACAGGCTGCAGGTAAACAGTACAAGGGGGCTTAGAGATAGGAAGTGGCCTAGGGAAACAGCACCACCTCTCAAGAAACAGACCTGGCTGCTTAATCAGGGACCCTAGGATCGAACTCAGAGCAGCCAATGGACCTGGGTTCCCCTACCAGTCCCTGAGGCAGGAGAATACAAGCACAACTGCAGGAGCAGATGAGGATCCTGTGGGGAGGCCCTGAGGGAGGGCCAGTAAGAACACTGCAGTAGAACCCGAGAGGGGTGGAAGAGTTTTTTGGAAGTTTAGCTGGGACCTTTTGTTACCTGGGAACTTTATATCACTTGGCCAAAAGGCCAGGCTACAGAAGATGTGATGGAGGGAGATGGCCTGCAGGAGGTGCCAAAGGCAAGGGCCCCGTTCAGCATTGCACCCTGACACAAGGGGGCGCTATGGCTGATGAGTATGCTATCTTACAAGGAAACTTCAACAATCTTTGGTTTTATTCTGATTTGGACCAACAACAAATCTTGTAATCACAGTATTTCTTTTGCAATAGACATTCTAGTTCCTGCACTGCTCAGTATTAATAGTGTCACCAAATAGGCTAATAAATCTGGTCAGTTGTGCATGAGCAGCTGTGACATAACCTTTCCAGTAGATGGCAGTGGCATATCCACTCAATCTCATACATTGTCCTGTGAGTGCCTGAATGAGCTTTGCTCTGTCATTCGTTTTTGAAATGTATTCAGTACAGGATGTAGGACTACACTCCCTTTTCTTTTTCAAATCAAATCCTTTCTTTCATCTTTGACTCAACTATATGGACAGTTTATTTCATCGTACCTTTTTACTTTGGTACTGTCCCTCACCTTCTTTCTGTATCCTTTTTTTTGGGGGGGGGGGAGAGGAGGGAATGAATTGGAAGACTGTCTCCTCCCAAATGTAATCTTTCTGTTTCCTTGTCAGTGAAAGACCAAACAAAGGGCAAGAATTATATTGTAATGAAGGGGTGGGCATGTGTGCACCATGACTCTCTACTGTGCAGAGTCAGAATTGGCCAGCTGCTTGTCATATGCCCCACACTGCTAATGGCGTTTCTTCTTTACTGTAAGGGGGAGCCTAGCCTGTTGGAGCCGTTTGCTCTGTTACTGTGAAGTTCTGAGTGACCAAGGCATACTGTAATATCCCACTGGCCATGTGGGTCTGTCCAGATTATATTAACTAATACACATTACAAAAACTCTTATTTAGGTGTTTGTATTTAGCTCCAGAGTGGGGAAGGAATAGAATAGAAGGGATCTCCCACCCCAATCTCTCAGGCAGGGAGACAGAATTCCCTGCTTATGTAAGCCATGCCTGCTACCCCATCCCTGGGCAAGGGCATGAAGACAGAACCCATCCTCCCTTCAGCTGGCTGCTTTTCCTCTCTCCCCCCATGAGAGAGGGGATCCAGGGGTGCATTGTGTGTCTGTGGAGCAGATTATCTCCCCCTGGTGAGGTGGTCTCTTGTCTCTTAGGAGCTAGTCTCCCAGCCAGAGGGGAGATGTATAGTTCCCCTTCCTCAGGAACCGATGCCCCAGCCAGAGAGGAGGAAAAGTTAGCAGTGGGGAGCGAGGCTGGGCTCCCGGGGTGGGGAAGGAGAGAGGCTAGGACTCCGCCCCTTCCCCCGTGCTAGGTGCCCCGCCCCGGGGAGAGGCAGAAGCTGCCGCCGGAGCCCCGCCCCCCCTGCCCGTACATGGCCTGGCGGGGAGCCCCTGATTGACAGCCGGGTGGAGGCCGCGGAGCGGAGGCGAGTGCAGCCGCCGCCGCCAGGCTATGGCGGAGGAGGCTGCGGGGATCAGAGGGGGAAAAACTTAGCCGGGGAGCCCAGCACAGGGCTGGGAGGAGCGCAGCAAGGAGCAGCAGCCGCCGCTGGCCTGGCCGCTCTCGGCCTCCCTGGCGCTGGGCGGGCCCCGGGGGCGCGTTCTCCTGCGGCGGCCGGGGCGGGGGAGGCGAGGAGCATGAGCTGGGGGGAACGGGGAGAGGCATGGCTGCAGCCTTGCCGTGGGGCGGCCAGCGGCCCCGCGCAACCAACATGGCTGCGGGTGCTAGGAGGCGCTCGGCGCTGAAGCCGCCTGGCCCCCGGCAGCCCCCTCCTTGCCCCGCGGCCCCCGGCCTGTAGCCAGGGGGAGGGGAAGTGGTTCGAGCCGCGGCTCGGGACTAGGGGGTGGTAGCTGCAGGGGGAGCAGCCGCCTTTATCTCCAGCGCCTGCCCCAGGCGGAGTCTGCCCGGCGGAGAGCGGGGAGGCGGCCGCGGGGAAGTTGGGCGGCCGGGCGGCACTACGGGTGTCCGCTGTAGCGGGGGGAGAAGAGCCGCAGCCACTGCCTGAGCCTGTCCCTGGGGAGAGGAGCCCGCAGCCTCTGTCCGGATCTCAGCCCCAGGAGTAGCCAGAGGCGGGGGAGACGCGGAGCTGCCCAGGGGGTGCCCGCCGGTGCAGGAAGGGGGGAGCGCCGCCGCCGGACAGCACCTCACCGAGCCGCGGGGGGCTTTGCCCGCCTGGGGTGCGGGGGAGGGCAGCCCGGTGCTCCTCGGCTGCGGGGGAGAAGGACAAAGTTTGGCGGCTGGCTGCCCTGACTCGCCCGCAGCGGCCATGGAGCCCAAGCACAAGGAGCTGCTCGCTCAGTGCCGCCAGAGCCTGGCCCAGTCCATGACCGAGGTGGACAAAGTGATCGAGTTGCTGGAGGCTGCTGGCACCTTAAGCCCCCGCGACCTGCACGAGCTGCAGGAAGCCGCCGGAGGGGGAGCGGGGGGCGCTAGCAAGGCCGACCGGCTCATCCAGCTGCTGCTGGCCAAGGATCGGGACCATTTCCAAGACCTGCGGGTGGCCCTGGAGAAAACGCAGCCTCACCTGCTCTCGATCCTCTACCTGAACGGGGTGGCGGGGGCGCCGCCCGGAGAGACGGCCGGTGAGTGGGGGCGGGAGAGGGACCGGCACCGGGGAGCGGTTGCTGCCTCGCTGCACTTCCGAGGGGCGAGGGAGCGGAGCTGCCCGCCTGTGTTGTGTGCCAGACGGCGTCCAGGTGCACTCTTCTGGGGCAAGGGGTAAAGGGCTCGCTGCCTGGGTGCCTTTTATGGGGGGGGGTGTTTTCTGGATGCCCTCTTAGGGCTGGGGTGTTGCTACCTAGATGGCACTTTTTTTTGTTTGTTTTTTTGGCTGGGGATAAGCGAATGGTTTGGGTGGAAACCAGTTTCTGTCCTTCCCCATCCCGATTTTCTTAAGACAGGAGGAAAAACGTTTAGGATGAGATTTAGGCAGGTGCCCAGCATTGGCCTAGTTCTACCACTTTGACTTACCTTTTAAGTCAGTAGTAATAATCCTGTAGTGCGCTTCATCCAGAGATCTTGGTGTTCTTATCCCCGTTTTACAGCTGGGGGAACAGACAGGGAGATAAAGTGACTTGCCCAGCAGGTCAGTGACAGAGCAGGGAATCAAACCCAAGTCTCCTGAAGCCTAGCCCAATTCTTGGCCACTAGGCCACATTGCTAATATTAATCAATGGGAGGAGAAGTAGGTCTACAGGGAGCATTTCTGGAGAGACCACTCTTAATTAAACAGTGAAAAAACCTAAGCCTGGATACTTAAAGGTGGTTAAGATCAATGGGAGCTAGGTGCCTAAATACCTTTGAGGGTCTGGGTCCTAGTCTTTTATTGCTTATATTTTCTTCAAGCTTTAGGTTTGAGGGTTTATTTTGGTCTGTCTTTTTGGTCCCAACCGTTTCCCCCCTCTTTAGGAAGATATGCTGCTGCTTGTTCCCAAGTAACAGTAACAGTGTTAGCATTTACAGTACCTTGCATTACCTTCCCAAAGCAGTTACATAATTATTTCATTCATGCTTTCATTATAATTGTTCCTGTCTCTGGAAACCTGGGACCAGTGAAGACTAAGCTAACTGTTTCCATAGTGTTGTTTTGTACACTGTCTGTTGTTTGTAAACTCAACTGAAGTTAATGTTATTAAACAGTTAAAGTTTTGTGAATAGCTGCAGCTGTGAAATTGTTTCTGTTGCAGATTGAACTGTGCTGGCCTAATAAAACATGGAGATTTTTTGTACTTACTATTTGAAGAGAATGGCAAATGTTTTGACTAGTGGTCCTATTTGAATACAGATAAATTTGGATATATATTATAATAACTTGTATTTGTTGGAGGAGAGGGGAGAGAAAACTGGTTTCATTGTTCAGCCAGGTGGAGATGAGAATTTTGAGAGTAAACTTCCTAGTTTATCAAACCACCCACAAAACCCAGTTAGGACTCTATCAGAGATTCTTTTTTTAAAAAAAAGATGAAGTTGGTAATATTGAGGCTTTATGAATGTAGCTGTTCCTCCAAATTAACGCTACTACAATTTATCTAAATTTCAAGGCTGTATTGTAGATTGGCTTTAAAGAATATGCATTTGTTAGAGTAATGTGCAGGGGCTGTTTTATAATGGCTGTCGTTAACATTTGGCAATAAGGAAAAAGCTTTTTTACATCAGAGGTGGATTTAGACAGGGTGACTTACCTGTTTTACAGCGAGGAAATTATCCGTGGGAGGTGCTTCCTGGCTCATGTAAACCATGTAATTTTCTTAGGAAAATTGAAGCAAACTGTCTTAAAAATCAGACTCTTAAACTTGTCTGTTTCACTTGGAAAATATTTATGGATGTGCCTTTATAATATACATCATCACACTGTACACCATACTTTTATTTTTAATTCAGTCAGCTATGAGTTTATAATAAACAGAGAAAATGTGATTTATTTTTTTAACATCACTATATATTATAATATATGGTCTCCTTTAATGAATGTATATCAGGAGTTCACAGGAACAATGGACCTAAGGACTTCTAATATTGTGTGGTCTGACATCAGTGGGAGTTGAGGGCACACAGTGCTTTTCAGAATAGGACCCATAATATTTTTATATGATGCTCAATATGGTCTTGTTTGGAAGCTGCATTTAATGAACTTATAGTACTGAACTATTGGAATTCCCTAGTCTTAAGAACAAAATTTAAAAATGGAGTGGATGTAGCCACCATGTGTGATGATACTGTGTTAATAAACTGAAAGTAGGATATAGAAAGTGTCATAATACAGTACTGAGATCCCAAGGGAGGAGGCATTTGAAATTAACGGGCAAAATTAGTTACTTTCTTTCTGCATGAACTCATGAGGCTAATGTTAGTAAGAATATACACCTGGTACACCTTGTATGTAAAATGAGATGTTCATGTTGACAAACACTTTTCAAAACATTTTAGTTTTTGACAGTAAAAGATTATACCTTTTTTGAATTAAAATTTTCATCTAATTGAAACTGACATTTTTACAAGTTCGTATGGAAGAGATTATTAAAGTGACTTTAACAGAGACCGTCATCATGTGTGTTAAAAGATTAAGATCCTGATCCTGGAGTGTGCTTAACTGTGCATGCCTGAAGAGTCTCATTGGAGTCAGTAGGACTAACTCATGCATAAAGTTAAGCACTTAGAAACATTTTTGCAGGATCAGGACCTAAATATTCACTTACATACTGAATATATTACAGAAAAGGAGTTAATCTTTAATCGTGGCCACCTAGAAGGGGCATGTTTGGTCCCATATTTAAAATTTTAAAATGATCCTTATTTTATATTAAATTGGAAATGAATCTGCTTCACACTTTGCCATTTACATAGTTGTCTTTTTGCACTTCTGTTGATTGTGGACAATGAAATTAGACTAGTCAGATTCATTTTCTTGTTCTTATGTAGGTTGAGTTGCTGCACTGTTTGGGTAGCAAATACTGAAGGAGGCATGGTTAATATCTGAACAAAAGTGTTCAAAATTTAAAAAGTAACTAGTGAAAACAGTTCTATTAATCCATTTTGTAAAATGCTTATATTTAAAAGTCAGGTAAAAACTAATTATTGGGCCTAAGCCAAGTGTCCCTTTAATTTAATCTCTAAGGTATCTTCCTGAATTAGTTTTTCAAGTTACTATTTGGAGTTTGGTTAATGAAGGAATTTAGGACAAGCACAATTAAATTATAGGCTTGTTTGGCAGAACCAAGATTTATCTGGAGTGTATATCTTGAATGCTTGTTGGAGGTTAAAGTAACATGCAGCAGACTGCTTACACGTAACAAATTTGGGGGTCTATTTTTTTTTTCTCTTTGAGAGAGGGTCTTAAGCAAGTAATCCACATCAACATTGATAGAAGTTCTAGACATATTTGTCCCACTTGCCCGGTGTCAATGAGATTAGTAATCTGTTGGTGTATTGCAGTGGTTTTCAACATTTTTTTCATTTGTGGAACCCTAAAATATTTCAAATGGAGGTGTGGACCCCTTTGGAAATCTTAGGCGTGGTCTGCCGACCTCACAGATGGGAAAACCACTGTTTTATGGTAATAACGGCCTTTTCTGGACCCCTTAGACATAGTCTGTGGACCAGTAAGCAGCTGTTCTGAATGCTTTAGGGAGAGATTGGGAGTTCTAGTGATTACTAAAGGACTTGTAAAGCAAATACATCATGATCCATGTTAAAAAGAGCTTGCTTTTCTTTATAGCATTTTTCCTAGCTCAGCAACTATTACGATTTGAATACATGTTGCACATTTACATCTTACATTGTGAATGATAATTGGTCATTCTTATTTTTTTAAAAGTCCCCCGTGCAGATTATTTTAAATGGCTTTAATTTTAGAGCATTGTGCATGACAATATTAACAAATTGACTGCAAACTAACAAGAAATAATATTCTGACAAAGCAAAATCAACACAAACTCAGTACTACGTGCTTTATTTTGCTTAGTGATAGTACAGGTACCATATAATTCTTATGGTATCTCCCTTTAGAAATTCATTTAAGATAATAAAGGAAGAAAATTACAGTATTAAGATTCGCTAATAAATGATTTCAGGTAATACTGCTAAATTATATTATAAATTTTAATGTACCTCCCAAGACTGCAGAGGCTAATTAAAAGATCTGGGCAGATGGATCCTTGCTATACAAATTATTTACATTAACTTTTTGAAAATGTTCATTTGAAAATCAGTGTGATTTTTTTGTTTTTTGTTTTTTGTTGGTTTTTTTTTGGCATTTTAAAACCACACTGAACTTTGTGTGTGTGCTAATTCTTTCTTTTAAGCTATTTATCAGTTCTTCCTATATTTTTGCACATTCTTATCTTATGAACTTATGAGTTTTAATTAAGTAGCTAACTTGGCAAGGTATCTTTAATCATGTAGTAGTTGCATATCTTAATAGTATAGCTTTTTCCCTTTTAATGGGGTATTAAAAGACTACTTTCATGCTTAAGTATCTTACTGAATTGGGGCAATATTAATGTTGCAACATCAGATAAATTGCAAAAAGTTTATTCAACAATATTCTTGGATATGTTACACATCCATATGTATTTTATGTTAATAGCAAACAGTATATGAAAGTTTGAGTCTAACAAGCAAAACAGAAATAAAAACACTACAAATAATGTAGCTGCTAAGTTAGCACGGAGGGAGAAAGGATACCTTGTGGCTTTGGAGTGCTTGATATATCAATGCCAGTTTTTTGTGCTTCATTTCCGTGGCTTTCTAGGGGGGAAAAAGGAAACAGTCCGGAACTATTTAGGTTGCTGAGCTTGTAAGTTCTTTGCTGCTGAGTTAATGGGCGTGTGGAGTTAAAAGGTGCCCTAATCTCTGTATTCCAGAGCTAAAACAGCTTGCTGAACTTAAAAGCCCTAGTACACCTGGCTTCAAAGCTGTTAAGCTTGTCAGTTTCACAGTTTCCTTTTCCTTTAGCAGCTGAGCTGGTAAATTCTTGTAACCAAACAACTGCTTTCGGTGGTGAAGTGTGTATGCATCTATCTTTATGTTTGCAGCTAATAACATATGGAAGTTTTTAGTATGCACTTTCAGTACTGTGTTTCAG